AAAATGAATACACCAAGCTTCTGATATGATATTACAAGCCAAAGAATAGAGGATATCCTGAGAAAAGCACAAGATTCTAATCACATTGCCAGTACTTCTTCAACATTTTGGCCATGTCTTTTAATATTTCTGGCTTTTTTCAGCCCTTAAACTGTTACAAAATATTTCTAAAGGGTTGAAAAATGAAAATGAAATGAAAGTTGCTCATTTGTGTCCGACTCTGTGACCCCATGGACTGTACAGTTCATGGGATTCTCCAGGCCAGAATACTGGAGTGGGGAGCCTTTCCCCTCTCCAGGAGATCTTCCCAACCCAAGGGTTGCACCCAGGTCTCCCACATTGCAGGAGGATTCTTTACCAGCTGAGCCACAAGGGAAGCTAGTACTAAAATAATATATCAATATTGTGTATGAAAAAAATGTTTCACATCTAGGGACTTCCCTGGCAGTGACGTGGTTAAGCCTCCTTGTGGCCAATGCAGAGGAACTAAACCCTGGACAGGAACTAAGACTCCACATGCTGTGTGGCATGGCCAAAATATATATTTATCTTTCAAAGTTCACATCTTAAAATTTCACCATATGAAATTTAATCCTCTAGTGATTCAGAAGGTTAGTTATCACTGTAATGTCAATATATAGATGAATGGTGTTCAATGTACACTAAGGCTTTGGTTCATTTCATTTGTTACCGTGTTGTGGTGCTAAGCAATGGTATTGGCCAGGGACTCAGGAAACAAACAGCATATCCACAGTGGGATTTGCCAAGGAAGGTCCAAAGGCTGTTCAGAAAGCTGTTGGTCGGTGTGGAAGAACCACAAAGGACAGTGCAGTAACAAGAAGAAAGAGGGCTTACCAAACCCAGGAGAACAGAGGTTATGAAAGGAGGCCTCTCCCAGTCAAGGGACACAAGCAGCCTGAGCCAATCCTACAGGGGCTCCCACTGACCAAACCTGACTGGAATGCATCGCCTTCTGAGGCAGAGGCGGGCACAGAGAATGGGGAAGAAGATCTGGAATGCAATTGGAAGGTATCTAGCATGGCCAACCAGGCTTTAAACTCCAGTACCACCTCATCCCTTATCCAGATGTACACTGTGTCAGTTATGGGAAAGTGGGATGGCTTTAAAAATGGTAGAGACCTAGCAGATGCTGAGGAGATCAAGAAGAGATGGAAAGAATACACAGGAAGAACTGGTTAAAAAAGATTTTAATGAACCAGATTACTACGATGGCATGGTCAGTCACCCAGAGCCAGACATTCTGCAGTGTGAAGTCAAGTGGGCCTTAAGAAGCACTGCTGTTAATAAAGCTAGTGGATGCGATAAAATTCCAGCAGAACTATTCAGATCCTTAAAGGAGGATGCCGTCAAGGTCTTGTATTCATTATGTCAGCAAATCTGAACACCCAGCAGTGGCCAAAGGACTAGAAAAGGTCAATCCTTATCCCAATTCCCAAGAAGGGCAGTACCAAAGTTAGTGCTAACCATCAGACAGTTGCACTCATCTCCCGTGCTAGTAGGGCCATGCTTAAAATCTTGCATGTTAGTCGTCAGCATTGTTCGAACCAAGAACTTCCAGGTGTCCAAGCTGGGTTTAGAAAAGGAAGAGGAACTAGAGATCAAATTGCCAACATTTGCTGGATTATAGAGAAAACAAGGGAATTTCAGAAAAACATCTATCTCTGTTTCATCAACTACACTGAAGCCTCTTACTGTGTGGATCATGGCAAACTGTGGAAAGCTAACAGAGAGATGGGAATACCAGACCATCTTGCCTGTCTCCTGAGAAACCTGTATGCAGGTCAAGAAGCAATGGTTAGAACCCTGTATGGAAAAACTGATTGTTCAAGATTGAGAAAGGAGTATGGCAGGGCTGTCTACTGTCAGCCTGTTTCTTTAATCTATATGCCAAGCACATTATGAGAAATGCCAGGCTGGATGAGTTACAAGCAAGAATCAAGACAGGCTGGAGACACATCAACAACCTCAGATACACAGGTGATAACACTCTAATGGTAGAAAGCCAAGAGCAGCTAAAGAGCCTCTCAATGAGGGTGAAGGAGGAGAGTGAAAGAGCAGGCTTAAGACTAAATATTAAAAAGTCTAAGATCATGGCATCCAGCCCCATGGCAAATAGATGGGGAAAAGAAGGAAGTAGTAATAGACTTCCTCTTCTTGGGCTCCAAATTCACTGCAGACGGTAACTGCAGCCATGAAATCAGAAGGCAATTGCTTCTTGGCAAGAAAGCGATGACAAACCTAAACAGTGTGTTGAAAAGCAGAGACATTACTCTGCCAACAAAGGTCTATATAGTCAAGGCTACAGCCTTCCCAGTGGTCAACTATGGTTGTGAGAGCTGGACCACAAAGAAGGCAGAACACCAAAGAACTGATGCCTTGGAACTGTAGTGCTGGAGAAGACTCCTGAGAGTCCCTTGGCCAGCAAAGAGATCAAACCAGCCAATCTAAAGGGAGATCAACACTGAATATTAACTGGAAGGGCTGATGCTGAAGCTCCAGTATTTTGGTCATCTGATGCAAACAGATGACTCATTGGAAACATCCCTGAAGCTGGGAAAGACTGAGGGAAGGAGAAGAGGGCATCAGAGGATGAGATGGCTGGGTAGAATCACCAATGCAAAGAATTTGAACTTGGGCAAACTCCGGAGATGGAGGTAGACAGGGAGGCCTGGCATGCTGCAGTCCATGGGGTCACAAAGAGTTAGACACGACTGGGCCACTGAACAACAACAACAACTACCTTATTTATCCAGATAAGTATGTTAGCTGTGGAAAAGTAGGGTGTCCTGCAAAAGTGAAGAATAGAGCTACCATATGATCCAGCAATTTCACTTCTGCTTTTATAGCTGAAGGAATTGAAATCAGTTATCTCAAAGGGCTATCTGCACACCCATGCTCACTGAAGCATTATTCACAACATTCAAGATATCAAAACAACATAAATGCCCTTTTATGGATGAATGGATAAGGAAATTCCATAATAAGGGTATATTAAGACTCAACATGAATAAAGCCAGAGAGCACTATGCTAAGTAAAATAAGCTACACAGAGAAAAAGAAATACTGTATGGCATTGTCTGTATGTGGAATCCTAAAAAAAAAAAAAAAAAAAAATGAGGTCAAAGGGTATAAATCTTCCAGAATAAGTTCTGGAGTCCTAATACACACAGTGACTATACTTAATAATATTTACATACTTGAGAATTGCTAAGAGTAGGTTAAACATTCTCACCACATGTAATAAAGGAATTAATTATGCAAAGTGATAGATGTGTTAATTACCTTGATTTTGGTAATCGATCGATGTATATGCATATTGGATCACCACAATGGAGAATTTAAATATACATATAAATACCTGTCAATTATTCCTTAGTGAAGTTTAAATTTTTAAAAAGTTTTCTTAAAAGAGTAACGTGTCCCCAGTATAGAGTTACACAACATTTTACTAGTTGACGCATTAGAACAGTCGATGTAATCAGCTCTCACATCACCATCTGTGTCCATCATGAGAAAGAATAGAAAAATACTGAAGGAAAATGATAGAATAAAACATAACTGCTTCAGCTAGTCATCATAGTCGTCTACCACCCTGTCCCATGTTCCTAACATCTCCACCAAGACCTCAGCTAGACAAATACTTCACCAAGTGGTGTGAACCAGACTTTCTACAAAATTTAAGACTTCAGTGGTCTTACGGAGAAGGCAATGGCACCCCACTCCAGTACTCTTGTCTGGGAAATACTATGGATGGAGGAGCTTGGTGGGCTGCAGTCCATGGGGTCACTAAGAGTTGGACTGAGCAACTTCACTTTCACTTTCATGCATTGGAGAAGGAAACGGCAACCCACTCCAGTGTTCTTGCCTGGAGAACCCCAGGGATGGGGGAGCCTGGTGAACTGCCGTCTATGGGGTCACACAGAGTTGGACATGACTGAAGCGACTTAGCAGCAGTCTTATCTTAATTGCATTTCTGTAGTTTTCCATAGACTAGAACTACTGAGTACAGCCTATTCAGTACGCAAGTAAGAAATTCTCTATTAAATCCTCTGGTCCCCTGCTACTCTTGGCTCCCATTGAGCAGCATAAATCATATTTCTTCCTGGTAACTGGGGTAATGACCCCATACAAAACAGTGACCCCCTTCTCTGCCACAAGGAGCCCAAAATGACCAGAGTACCAAGCAGAATAAAGACTGCTCTCTGATAAAGTAATTCCTCCTTTTATCGCTAAGTCCTCCCAAACCACCAAAGCCAAAACTGTACATATGAGAAGCAAACGCTTCCCAAGTGGGCTGTTTAGTGGAATAGTGAGAGAGGTCACTCACATTCTTGTGCCAGAAGGCACGGACTCTGGCTAGCAGAGAAATGAATATATATGAGAGACTAGCTCAGAGAAATGTTTGTTCAGGACAGCCCACATCCTGCCACGCAATACCTCAGTCTCCCAAGATGTCTTCTAAGCTGGAAACAGAGCCCAGCTGTCAGAAGTCGGCCCCAGCTGGCTGCTGAGCCAACACTTCCCAGCGACGAAACCCACGCCAAGGCCACACTTCAGCTGCTGTAACACGTGCCCCGTGCCCGGAGGGGGCGCCATGCCAGGGACTGCAACTGAAGAGGACCCTCCACACTTCCGCTGCTGTAAGACGTGCTGCCCGCCCGGAGGGGGCGCCATGCCGGGACCGGGACTGAAGAGGACGCTGCACACTTCCGCTGCTGTAACACGTGACGCCCGCCCGGAGGGGGCGCCATGCCGGGACCGGGACTGAAGAGGACGCTCTACACTTCCGCTGCTGTAACACGTGCCCCGTGCCCGGAGGGGGCGCCATGCCAGACCAGGACTGAAGAGGACGCTGCACCCTTCCGCTGCTGTAACACGTGACGCCCGCCCGGAGGGGGCGCCATGCCGGGACCGGGACTGAAGAGGACGCTGCACACTTCAGCTGCTGTAACACATGCCCCGTGCCCGGAGGGGGCGCCATGCCAGGGACTGCAACTGAAGAGGACACTCCACACTTCCGCTGCTGTAAGACGTGCTGCCCGCCCGGAGGGGGCGCCATGCCAGGGACCGGGACTGAAGAGGACGCTCCGCAGACACACGCGCGGGATGGTGAGCGTTTCTGGAATAGGCACCGCAGCCCTGTGGGGACTGAGCTCCGCCTCCCTCTCTGGAGACGGTCAGACACAGCCAGCACAGCGCCAGGTCACTGGCTGGTCCTCACTGGAAATGGGAGCCGTGTCGGGAGCTGGTCTGCGCTGTCGGTGGTTTACACAGTTAGGAGCGGCAGTGGCCGCCTGAAGGAAAGGCCACGAGTGTGAAACCCTGCAGAGCTTCTGTCCCTGCTACTCTGCAGCTGGGCTCACTGGAACAGAAGCAGCTGGGTTGGGGAAAACTGCACCCACAGGAAAGGCCGTCATCATCTCTGCCCTGAGTGTCCTCTGACGGCCATAGGTGGAAAGATGAGTGTCTCACACGCGTACCCACCCTGAGAGATCAACGCATGCACCTCACTTTCGGTCACACTTACAACCAGATTTTTTACTTTTCCAAGTCCCCAACCAGTCGGCTATGGCCCTTTAGCTATGGCCCCTGAGTCACTGTAGGTCTGACTTTCCACACCACATATATGACCAGATGGTCTGTGAAGAGCTCCGCTCACTTGGAGGACTCCTGTTCACCAACGTTTTCATCCTGAGTCGACAGCAGTGCAGCAGCCGGTCTGTTCTTGCTGGTACCGACATACCACACAGAAGACCTAGGAACTGCGCTGGTGCCTTTTTCTCCTTCATCCACGGCTCAGGAAACCAATACGGAAGTTTTATTTCCAATTACTAAGCATATTACTAAGCATTGGAAATAAAACTTCCATATAAGCATACTCTAGGGGCTGGCTACCTACTCCAGTGTTCTTGCCTGGAGAATTCCATGGATGGAGGAGCCTGGTGGGCTACAGTCCACAGGGTCACAAAGAGTCGGACATGACTGAGCGACCCCACTTTCTTTCAGGGGCTTCCCAGGTGGCGCTAGTGGTAAAGAAAGTGAAAGTGAAGTCGCTCAGTTGTGTCCGACTCTTTGCGACCCCATGGACTGTAGCCTACCAGGATCCTCAGTCCATGGGATTTTCCAGGCAAGAGTACTGGAGTGGGTTACCATTTCCTTCTCCAAGGTATCTTCCCAACCCAGGGATCAAACGCAGGTCTCCCGCATTGCAGGCAGACGCTTTACTTCTGAGCTACAGTAAGTGTCTAGTGGTAAAGAACCCACCTGTCAATGCAGAAATGATAAGAGACATGGGTTCAATCCCTGGGTTGAGAAAATATGCTGGGGGAGGAAATGGCAACCCACTCCAGTGCTCTTGCCAGGAGAATCCCATGGACAGAGGAGCCTGGTGGGCTACAGTCCGTGGAGTCACGGAGTCGGACACGACTGAGTGACTTGCCATAAATGCAAACACACGACACATTTTACAACCGGGGGTGGGGTGGGGACGGGGAAAGACCCTGATGCTCGCTGGGGAAACTGAAGGTGGGAGAAGGGGACGACAGAGGATGAGATGGCTGGATGGCATCACCGACTCAATGGACACGAGTGTGAGTAAACTCCCAAGAAATAATGCAGGAGGGAGAAGCCTGGTGTGCGGCAGTCCATGGGGTGACAAAGGGTCAGACACGACTTAGGGACTGAACAACATGGGTTTGTGTTCTTATTGGACACACCTTGAGACAGACACTCTCCAGGACTCCATATGATCTGAGCTCTATAAGGTCTCACAATGACTAGTGAACAACAGTATTATTTTAACTTTCTGGGGGTCATTTTAACGTCCGAGCCGATACTCAATATCCCCAGAAAAGCTGAGTTCCATTCTCTCCCAGGCACAGTCACCCTGGTAAATGACTTCTGGGAGAGTTGGAGAATGCTTGTGGGTTTGTTACAGTTACTCCTCAAAGAGACCTTCCCTTCCCTTAATTCAAAGGAAACTGAGGGTGTGCCTTGTAAGGAAATGGATAGATACCACTTAGAGTAACCCAATATTGTTTTCAACCCAGCCAAACTAAAATTTGTGTTTGCCTCCAGCAAAGCGCAGCCTCTGCTCCTGACCTTGGACGAGGGGTGTTTCCTCACAGCCGCCCCTGCTGACCTTGAATGCGGACTAGCTTCTCTCAGCCCTCCTGCACCCATGCAGCCACCGCTCCTTGGCCGTGGGGTTGCTCCTCTCGGCCGCTGCCTCTGACCTCAGGCGCGGGGTAGCTTCTCCCAGCCGTGCTTCTGCGTGGTCCGTCGCAGCCGCTGTATTTCCCCTTCTGTCAGTATTCTGCTCCACTCCAGGATTCTTGCCTTGAGAACCCCATGGACAGCATGAAAAGGCAAAACGATAGGACACTGAAAGAGGAACTCCCCAGGTCGGGAGGTGCTCAATATGCTACTGGACATCAGTGGAGAAATAACTCCAGGAAGAATGAAGGGATGGAGCCAAAGCAAAAACAATATCCTGTTGTGGATGTGACTGGTGAAAGAAGCAAGGTCCGATGCTGTAAAGAGCAATATTGCATAAGAACCTGGAATGTTGTGTCCATGACTCAAGGCAAATTGGGTGTGGTCAAACAGGAGATGGCAAGAGTGAATGTCAACATTCTAGGAATCAACGAACTAAAGTGGACTGGAATGGGTGAATTTACCTCAGATGATCATTATATCTACTACTGTGGGCGGGAATCCATTAAAAGAAATGGTCAACAAAAGAGTCCAAAATGCAGTATTTGGATGCAATCTCAAAAATGACAGAATGATCTTTGTTCGTCTCCAGGGCAAACCATTCAATATCACGGTAATCCAAGTCTATGTCCCCAACCAGTAATGCTGAAGAAGCTTAATGGTTCTATGAAGACCTACAAGACCTCTTAGAACTAACACCCAAAAAAGATGTCCTTTTCATTACAGGAGACTGGAATACAAAAGTAGGAAGTCAAGAGACACCTGGTTAACAGGCATATTTGGCCTTGGAGTATGGAATGAAGCAGGGCAAAGGCTAATAGAGTTTTGCCAAGAGAACACACTGGTCATAGCAAACACCCTCTTCCAACAACACAAGAGAAGACTCTACACATGGACATGACCAGATGGTCGACACCGAAATCAGATTAATTATATTCTTTGCAGCCAAAGATGGAGAAGCTCTATACAGTCAGCAAAAACAAGACTGGGAGCTGACTGTGGCTCAGATCATGAACTCCTTATTGCCAAATTCAGACTTAAACTGAAGAAAATAGGGATAACCACTAAACCACTCAGGTATGACCTAAATCAAATCCCTTATGACTATACAGTAGAAATGAGAAATAGATTTAAGGGACTAGATCTGATAGACAGAGTACCTGATGAACTATGGATGGAGATTCATGACATTGTACAGGAGACAGGGATCAAGACCATCCCCATGGAAAAGAAATACATAAAGGCAAAATGGTTGTCTGAGGAGGCCTTAGAAATAGCCGTGAAAACAATAGAAGCAAAAAGCAAAGGAGAAAAGGAAAGATATTCCTATTTGAATGCAGAGTTCCAAAGAATAGCAAGGCGAGATAAGAAAGCCTTCCTCAGTGATCAATGCAAAGAAATAGAGGAAAACAACAAAATGGGAAAGACTAGAGATCTCTTCAAGAAAATTAGAGATACCAAGGGAACATTTCATGCCAAGATGGGTTCAATAAAGGACAGAAATGGTATGGACCTAACAGAAGAAGATATTAAGAAGAGGTGGCAAGAATACACAGAAGAACTGTACAAGAGAGATCTTCACAACCTAGATAATCACGATGGTGTGAGCACTCACCTAGAGCCAGACATCCTGGAATGCAAAGTCAAGTGGGTCTTAGAAAGCATCATTACGAACAAAGCAAGTGGATGTGATGGAATTCCAGTTGAGCTATTTCAAATCCAAAAAGGTGATGCTGTGAAAGTGTTGCACTCAATATGTCAGCAACTTTGGAAAACTCAGCAGTGGCCACAGGGCTGGAAAAGGTCCATTTTCATTCCAGTCCCAAAGAAAGGCAATGCCAAAGAATGTTCAAACTACTGCACAATTGCACTCATCTCACACACTAGTAAAGTAATGCTCAAAATTCTCCAAGCCAGGATTCAGCAATACGTGAACTGTGAGCTTCCAGATGTTCAAGCTGGTTTTAGAAAAGGCAGAGGAACAAGAAATCAAATTGCCAACATCCACTGGATCATCGAAAAAGCAAGAGAATTCCAGAAAAACATTTATTTCTGCTTTATTCACTATGCCAAAGCCTTTGACTGTGTGGATCACAATAAAATTCTGAAAGAGATGGGAATACCAGACCACTGACCTGCCTCTTGAGAAACCTGTATGCAGGTCAGGAAGCAACAGTTAGAACTGGACATGGAACAACAGACTGGTTCCCAATACGTCAAGGCTGTATATTGTCACCCACCTTATTTAACTTATATGCAGAGTACATCATGAGAAACGCTGGGCTGGAAGAAGCATAAGCTAGAATCAAGATTGCTGGGAGAAATATCAATAACCTCAGATATGCAGATGACACCACCGTTATGGCAGAAAGTGAAGAGGAACTAAAAAGCCTCTTGATGAAAGTGAAAGAGGAGAGTGAAAAAGTTGGCTTAAAGCTCAACATTCACAAAATCAAGATCATGGCATCCGGTCCCATCAATTCATGGCAGGTAGATGGGGAACAGTGGAAACAGTGGCTGACTTTTTCTGGCCTCCAAAATCACTGCAGATGGTGATTAAAGCCATGAAATTAAACAGTGTTTACTCCTTGGAAGGAAAGTTGTGACCAACCTAGACAGCATATTAAAAAGCAGAGACATTACTTTGCCACCAGTGGTGCATCTAGTCAAAGCTGTGGTTTTTCCAGTGGTCATGTATGGATGTGAGAGTTGGACTGTGCAGAAAGCTGAGCACTGAAGAATTGAAGCTATTAAACTGTGGTGTTGTAGAAGACTCTTGAGAGTCCCTTGGACTGCAAGGAGATCCAAACAACCCATCCTAAAGGAGATCAGTCCTGGGTGTTCATTGCAAGGACTGATGCTGAAGCTGAAACTCCAGTACTCTGGCCACCTCATGCAAAGAGTTCACTCATTGGAAAAGACCCTGATGCAGGGAGGGGTTGGGGGCAAGAGGAGAAGGGGGCAATAGAGGATGAGATGGCTGGATGGCATCACTGACTCAATGGACATGGGTTTGAGTAAACTCCGGGAGTTGGTGATGGACAGGGAGGCCTGGCGTGCTGCGATTCATTGGGTCGCAAAGAGTTAGACCTGACTGAGCAAC